AGTATTTTTTATAGTAATTTCGAGGTTATTTGTATTCAAATCATAACTTTAACGTACCAATTTTTACTGCATCAGTAAATTCAATTATTTTGATATTTGTTTGTTTAACTCCTTGTAATCTTCAACATATTGAACTGAAGAAGTATTAGGTAGATGTTAACTATTTAATTTTTAATCAATTTCAATAATAAAATTTAATCCTCTTAAGCTCATAAATAGCTTCGGGCAGCTGTATCTCATTGATAAAAAATCTTTGTTCTGGATTATAAGTACATGTAGGGTGGAACAATAGAACAACCCCTTACTGAGAACATGATTTTCATTCATTCTCCACAATTAAGGCACACCAAATCCTACAATTTCATTGGCTCCGAGCACTTTGCTATATTCTAACACACTTTAATCCTTTTATTTACTAATCTTGTTATCGACTTTTAACGACTCTTTACTGTAATCATCTTATTAGTTTAACGACAAGTTGAATAACAGACACCAGATACATAAACGACGCCGTCCAGTGAACCGTATCACAGAGAACCGCGAACCTTAGTCAAACATTTACTGTTATTATAACGTTCAATGACGTTTGGTGGATTTATGATATACATGTACGCAAGCTTTATTTTCTGATACTTTTTCAATTATTGTTGAAGTAGTTAATTCAAGAATGGACAACCTGAAGACGGAATTACTTAAAGGGTTTTCCGCAAATCCAGTGCATATCCCAGCATGGTACCGTTATGACGAAGAAGGATCTCGGTTAAATGATATTTGTATGGAACAGTGCAAATGGTACTACTTTCATCATTTTGAAATGAAAATTCTGAATGACATTTTAATAGTACGTACTCATAAATTATGATTATTTTTGTCGAGAAAACATGTTGTTTAGATAGAAATAGATATCTAATATATGCAATATAATGTCGAAATAAAACGACTACGTACTACCTTGTATTGTAGGTTATCACCACTTATCATATACTTAGCATTACTATGATAGTTTTTGCATATGTGTAACGAGCGGAAGTAAACTAGTCATAAATTCACACCCAGGCCAATAACCCATATCAGCCCTATGTGACGTCACGTGATCGGGCTGATATGGGATTATCAGCCTGGGTGCGTTCGCACATCGGTAGTATATGATATAAAAATTAGTTATACATGTCCTTTTCCATATCGACCCGGGTATCATCCCTCGACCCATATTACCACTCGACTAAAGTCACGGAATGATACCCCAGTCGATATGGAAAAGGCCATGTAATAATCTGTATATATAACTTATTGCAGATTATTATATAATAACATTGATTCCTAACTAAACATTCTTAGTTATTGTAAAAATAGATCTTTTATATAAAAAAAGAAAGATATAGTATAATTCTAACGAGACAATTACCTCTTGACACAAAAGTTGTTAAAGGACGTAAAGACAAAGATGTGAACAATATTTGACATTGCACGGCTTTCAACAGTAAGCAAAAACAATACCAAATATTGATCTTTCAAAAGTTTGAAATGAGAAAATTTGAAACAAACCAAATTTAAAACTAAAGGCCTGATTCAGCTAAAACAATAAACGAACGAAAAAAAACAATAATTGCTGACAGAAACAAATGTAGCAGAGTTCAACGGGTTTGTAACCGCCCAACACCCTCAAACCACTTCGGACAGTGGTGTTACAGTCCAACATAAAACAATCTGTAAAAAAGGACTTGATTCGGTCGATACTAGGCACACTAACAAATAGCTTTTTTTCATTTTAGTAATGTTAACATTAGTGGGCATTAATACCAATAACTTAAATTCATTTTTAGCAATTTTAGTGGGCATTAATACCAAATAACTTTAATTCATTTTTAGCAACAATATTGGGCATTAATACCAAATAACTTTAATTCCTTTTTAGCAACAATAGTGGGCATTAATACCAAATAACTTTAATTCATTTTTAGCAAAAAACAGTGGGCATTAAAATACCAAAATAACTTTAATTCATTTTAAGTAATATTAGTGGGCATTAATACCAAATAACTTTAATTCATTTTTAGCAACAACAGTGAGCATTAATACCAATTCTAATATGACGTGCTTCTTTCGCCTTGTAAACAACACCGTGATAAAATTCTCGATATATCTATACTTAGCGCAGACTCAGAGATATACTTATAATGGATGTTACAATATACCTCCCACATAAATCCACATGTATCGAAACCTATTTGCAAACGCTATGCCGATTTATTTTTTAAATTGCAATTAAAAAAAAGACTACAGAACTTTTATTCTTATTCGGATGCATAACAAAAAAGAATTAATGCACAAGTGCTCGGCGAAATCTACAAAATCGAAATAAAATAAAATTCCGCGGAAGTCCACTAATGCTTTTGGCGCATTTAAGTCCTTTCAAAACATGACGTCATACAAATGAAAACGCTAAAGTTAAAGGTTTTTCCGTTACGTGAACCATCGAAATTCGTATAATATTGCATTAAAATGCATTTTTGAGGTAGGTTTTGTTTTGTTTTCTATTGTATTACATTATTTGCATATTTACTGATTTCAGCAAGTCAACATGGCGGCTCCTTAGTAACGAAATTTCAACTTTGGATTACGAGAAAAACATGTAAATCAAAAATGGCAAATGTTGGGTTTGAAAATTAAAAGAATTAAAAACAAATTTTCTAGCTGTTATTTACGAAATATTTGTGCAAGCTACAGATTTATTAGAATTTTTTAGCTTTATCTAAGAGGGAGTAAAAAAGAACAGCCCCACACACGACATACCCACTCTCACTTCAGTTTTTTAATGACCGTATTTGTCCTCTTAGAATCGAAATAATTCATGGAAGCCATAGGTTTGTTGTAAATTTACACATGGCCTGGGCCGTGATATTCGTTAATTTTATCGCTCGCTAACGCTTAGGATAAAATTCGAATGTGGGCATTAATAACAAATAACTTTAGTTCATTTTTAGCAATATAATTGGGCATGAATAACAAATAGCTGTATTTCATTTTTAAGCAATATAAGTGGGCATATCTCATGTTTCTCTCAATAAATATGTTAACTACATACAATTGCCCTGGAAATATACTTTTGTAGATAGCCATCCTATCCCTTACAGTTCCGTCATCACATGTATCATGGCGTAGGGCTGAATACCATTTGCATCAATCGGATTCTGTTTTAAATGTTATTTTATTTTCGTTTATTACAAATGTAAAAAAATCTAACATTCAAATTCCATCAACGTTCCCGGTGATATTGAATCTTGTTATGCAAGTTAATAAAAATCAATTGCTACATTCTAAATTTATAAAACCTTTTCTAGTTGGTAGATGATAAAATTGTGCGGCAAGCATTTTCTTTTTTAATGTAGTTGTATTTTAAAGGAATTAATAGATATTTTGAAAGATTCGAGAATGGTTGTTGACCTTGGTAGTGGAAATGCAAGCAAGACAATGTTGATCTTAGATAAACTTTTAAATACGCACGAATCTCTTACTTACGTCCCAGTAGATATTTCTAAAGGTTGGTATATAAATTAGCACGTGCTAGGCATATCTCATGTAATGATGAACGCATATTTATCTTCTTTAATTTATTTGCGGGATTTCAAATGTGTTTTTTAAACTATCTTCTTTTGTTGTTGAAATATTTGAAAAGAAAGTCGATTTTTTGTAAGCTGAAACATTTCTTGATCAATATGAATACTGCATTTTAGGCCAGATACTTAGATTCAAAGAATTACAACAACGTTTACAATCATTTTCATGTGATTTAGTCTACAGTACAAAGGAACACTTGTTTTGATTTATAATTCTATAATATAGTTGGAATAAAAACGATGCTATCATATTTCTTCCAATGATACATATTAGCAACAACAATAGCTGCGGAAATAAGTATTAAAAACGACAGCTCGAATTATTCGTGTTACTGCACAATGTACTACTTTTTCTAATGTTCTTGTATTTGGCTTAGATTTTAAACATTAACATTATGATTCACTATTTCATAGAATTTCTCAACAAAACCGCTGCAAACCTGAAAATAATATATGGAAATAAATTAGAAATCCAGCCAATCGGAGAGGAATACATGGTAGCACTGAAAAAAGTAAAGTTAGTATGTTTATAAAAATGTCTATGGATAACACTGAAAATAATTCTGTCTTTCAGAGATACAGAAAATGAGCTTGCAAACCCGGGTAGATTCTGTTTGTATACTGTAGGGACTCAATCTTAATTGGCTTGAAAATGTTGCATCCTTGTTTGTTTTAATATTTCAGGGGAAAATCTACGAAAACGACACATAGTTCCTTATTGAATAAAGTTGGACTTATCCTTTTGAATGATTATGTTAAGATAGGAAAATTGTCAAATGGAGACCGTTGCTTGGCTCTCATGAGCTCACAGTAGCCCTCTTTCCATATTTCTATGATTTATTGTTTCCTAACACAGAGCTCGAGGCAATGCAGACAATATAGAATCGCGAATGGATATATATTCAAGCTGTCGTGTTGTTTGTATTGTTTACAAAAACGTAACCACCCACAAAAACCATTACCAAAGCGCGTGTATCCAATTATGGTAAAGAATTCATAATTATGCAAATAATATAAACATGATAATTCTTCCAGTGAAAACTTTTACAGCCACCGACCGTTCATCATTTTTAGCGTGAGGGGAGCGATTCCATTTTAGTTTTTTTTAATTCTTGCTTGTTTTTATTTTGAAAATTATAAAAAAGAAAAAATACATCGATTAAAAAAAAGAATGTTTCTTGTTTCTCTTTGTTATTAAAAAAAATAATTTGTCTTGAAATAAATACGTTTACTTACAGCCATTTTTTTTAGACTGAGTTATAATTTCTGATTTATGTTTCCAAAAAACATCTTGCGTGTCTTGAATGTGTTAGTTGATTTCAGCTTCCAAAAGCATTTAGTTAATAGTAATTTTCCCCCCATTATTTTCATTCACAGAACCATGACAGATAGAAAAATAATTGTATGGTTTGGAAGTTTGCAGAGTTTATCGTATGAAAAGCAGTTAGATTATCTATTGGAAATACGAAACACTATGCAAGGTACGCTAGGCGAAGAAGGAATGAAGTGATGACCTTGACCATCCATCAGTCTTTCCTTTCTTCCGTCCTTCCTTCCTTCTGTTTGTCTGTTCGTCTGTCCATCTGGCATATAAAACCAAATATTTTGAACAAAGGGGCATTTGGGGTAAACTGTATTTCAATGAGACACCAAAACAGCGACGAAAATAAATAAAAGACATTTATATGGCAACATACAGCCTTCAACAATAGACAATTGTTTATACAATATGTTAAGTGCATCACCATTGTGAATACATGAATCAGAAATAATTCAAAATTTGCAATCAACACCAATTCTCTACTTAACAAAAAAAAAAGAAATGACATGATAAAACAACTGGAGGACTTTCTGACTTGGGACAGACGCATGAGTGTTGTGAAATCTCAATACCTACTATTGCTATCTCGATCAATGGACTGTCACAATGTCTGTCAAAGATTCACATACTGAAATGTACGGAGCCATGTTGTTCTCATACAGATAAACAGTTGTGGTTTTTAAAGTCAAGCGCTGGATATCTAAAGTCAAGCGCTTGGGATATAAAGTCCAGCACGAGAGATGCAAAATCCAGCACTGCAGATACAAAGTACTTTACATCTCCAGCGCTAGACTTTTAATATACACGTTGATTTATAATTAAATTTCCATTTTCTAGCACTGGGTCGAAACCTGGAGCGCATTTTGCTAAACATTTGATCGTCACTTGGGTTTTATCTCGAATGAATTTTAAAAACCCAAAATTCAATAAAATATACATGTTACTGCCTTTTTTTGTGTACTGCTTACAATGAAGCTATTGTATCAATTGTTTTAAATGGTAAATTTGACGCCATCCCTTCGACGTTTAACTGTGGCCATCATGATTCGGCTGACCGTTTATAAACATTTGGGGATGACTGTGGATACATATATGTAACCACAATCCTGTCCTCTTTTGTCATCAAATATTATCGCCGTGTTTATACTTACAATGAGAAACAAAACATTTAACTTTTACTACAAGCACACGAGCAATTAGTGAAAACAGTGTCCCAGGTTAGAGGGCAGATTGAGCGCTCACACACATGTTTAACCCCGCATTTTTATTTCAGTAATTCAGAGGTTGTCGTTGGTTCAACTTAGCCATATTTGTTTTTCGTAAATTGTATTGATACACATTAAGCCGTTAGCTTTCTCGTTTGAATTGTTCCATATGTTTAGATCGTGGTCTTTTATATCCTAAAACAATACACGGTCTGGGGTGATCTCATTTTGAAGGCAGTCTAGTGACCTATGATTGCTTATATCCATGCCATTTGAACTCTTGGGGATAGTTGTCTCATTGGCAATCAAATTACATCTCTTTAATTTTATTTTGATTAACAAGGATGACAGAGCTTATAATTGTAATTTTGGAATGCGTATACATAAATTGGAAACATATGACGGATCAGTTCATTTGTCTTTCAGCCAATACAAAATCAGTATCTGTATGAAATGAGCGACCACTGTGTAAATATAGACATTTGCATATGCTTTGTACAATGTAATAGTTTTAAACGGGAAGTTGGATTTTGAATGTGTTTCTTCAAAACGATGAATTTAATAAAGACGACCTGCCACACTTATTTTATATGTTGCCAGTATTTGTTCTAACGTTAAATAATGTTGAAGATCAAACTCATGACCTCCTAATAATTCCAGTGAGCAATTAAATATCCTACTAAATACATTTATATACGAGCATTAAGAAGTCAACCATACACACAAGATGAAATTGTATTGTACAGAAAGACAGATATTACGTCAATGTAATTCTTTTTTCTCTCTCCACACAATACAACAAGAACCACAACAACACTAACGGCAATCGTTGAACTATTTTATTTTGTTGGAAAGATCTATCATGCATTGTTGCATGACATTTTTGTTCCTATCCTAAATCAATTGCCTCGTCAGTGGTGTCTTAGATTACGTCTTTATCTTTTTGTCATTTTGTAAATTTCTTTTTCATGGCAAATCTTTGATAGCTTCTGTTTAATTTATTCCCAACTATTTTAATTCATACTATGGATAATTTTGAGGCTGACATAATATATAAACACCTGTACACAGCTATCGTTAGTTATCCGTATTTGATGTTAGAGGGTACGCACCGGAGAATTCAGAATTGGAGGACCTTATTTTGACACAAAATTGGCTGTAATTTTACCTTTACTATATACATTTTCAAAAAATCTTTTTTAAGAAGGGGGTTTGGGGGGGGGGGGGAAGGGGGAGGGGGTCGTGCCGGGTGCCCCCCGCCTAAATACGCACTTGGTAATATTGGAATTTTGTTTCATTCACGTATACCAGACAACTTATTTCATTCAATTGCAGAACTGCTGATGCTAATTATTTGTTAAATTTTTGTTGCAGTCGAAGACAAATTATTGATTACATTAGATGTCACAGACACTACTTGTAAACAGACGATAGAGCTTGCTTACCTTGATCCGGAAGGTAAATATAAGTCTCCATTTATTTGACAGTACACAAACTTATCACATCTCATTTCCAACCTCTTTTGATTTTATTTTTCTTACCTTAACGTAACGTACAATTATGCTTAAACTAACATATATAAATGTCAAAATCTTTGATTTTTATTATTTGTCCATGAACTTATAAAATAAGTTGCTCACTTATGATTTAAACCTCGTAAAAAAGGAACAATACAGCATTGCCGTATGCCACTGGTTCGTTGAATATTTTCCGTTTTTTGACTGGCTACACCACCCTGTTAATAATGACATCAAACTAAAATCTACTGCTAGTATTGTGTATATGAAATCTGTCATTTAAGAACAAAATAATTATATAAAATGTTGTTATATCTTACATGCACTTTTGTATTAGTCTTTAGTTATCTTCTAAAAATTGATTGTGATAAATATTTTTTTGTGTAGGATACTGCGAAAATTTTCATCTGAATTCCATCCATCGCTTGAACAGGGAAATGAATGCTAATATTGATATATCAAAGTTCAAAATTAAGAATGAATTGGTTGTGAATTCAAGGTCAAATAATTGTAGCTACGTGAATGCGTGGATAGAGGCAATAGAGAATTGTGATGTTCACATAGGTTTGTATAAAATAAATATGACTTAAGTTTTTTGTGCCTGTCTGTATATATTTTGTTTTCGATCGTTTTTACTACATGGCTTAAAATATTTTTGACATGCTCTCGTCCTTATTCATAAGCTTGGATATTTTGTCCAAATGATGTGTATTTTAGCAACTATAGGTCACTATATAGTCTTTAAAAAGAGCAAGACCCATACCGTAAAGTCAGCTATAAAAGACCCAAACATGATAAAATGTGAAAAAATTCAAACGAACAAACCTACGGCCTGATTTATGACAAAACAGTAACCGAAAATAAAAAATGTGACAGACAGCAACCAACGACAACCATTGCATTGCTGAATCTAGAGAATTATCACTTAGATTGGATCAAGATTTGCTGTAGTGAATTTGACAAGATTCAGTAGATATATCAGAATGCGCAATGGTTGCAAATTTCTGGCCGAATGTAATTGTTTACTTTTGGCAATTCAGTATCATCAACTGATCGCCATTATAATGTGAGCTGCGTCGGATAGAAATCGACCTTATGCAAGTGCACGTAAACATACATGTATAAGACTTTGATTGCTTTTGAAACATTCAAATACGAAATACAATATAAATTTTGGTCTGTTTTGTAGGCTTAGGGTTCTTATACCATCTCAATTTTCAAACAGTTACAGACTTTCCGTAGAGATGTTTTCAACCCAAAATAGGAAAAAAGATGTATTGATATTCATTTGCATATGGTCGATTTCTATCCGACGCAGCTCATGTATTACAAAACTTAGAATTTTTGGAAAAAACTAAGGATTTTCTACCCCAGAATAGATTACCCTAGCTGTATTTGGCAAAACTTTTAGGAATTAATCCATATCCATGTGAATACACGACGCAGTCAGTACAGGATATTAATTGAAAAAAAATCGATTCGTATAAACAGACAGTTAGAATCTAGAGCCGTTTGCAATATTTTTTGGAACCGATGTTCTTTGACGTTTTTGTATGTGGGACATATATGTCCAATAATTTCTTTTCATTTGTAAAAAATTTGATATTCAAAATTTCGAAGTAAAATGACTCTCTCTAGCAAAACATTTTATAAAGAAAGCAACAACTATTTTGCTTCAATGTCAAAGAGTAACGTTTCTGTTGAAAAAGATGTTTTTCGTCTTTGTAACAACTCTATTTTTAAATGATTGAATAGTGTAAGAGTGCAAAAAGCTATAACTGCTAAGCACACCTCAAATACATGTACCTGCTCAAGCTCAGGAACTATACAAGAGTAGACATGTACAGTGCCACCTTATTTTGAAAGTTCATTTGCGGACTCTGTTATTATTGTCAATCCTCTGAACAATAAAGAAACTAAATTTGGTTTGTCGCCGCCAATTTTTCAGTCAAAAACTTTTAAAAATAAGGAGAAAACCTCAATATACTCTGTAGTGACGTCGCACACGGTGTTTGGTGATAATACAGGTTTTGCTTTCCAGTTCGCCTTTATTGTATTTGTTCTAAGTTTCGGGTATGTATATATCAAAATAAGCGTAATTAAAAGTAAAAATGGAATATGCCTTAAAATCAATACTTTTTCATTTTGTAACTCGAATAATCCCTAATAACACGGATTTTTGGGCGTGTGGACAAGTGACACGCAACACATGACCAGCGTTTTTTAATGCTATTCTCATCTTTATTTAAAATATTTTTTAAAAAGTGGTATAATATATAATAATTCCTAGAAAGTGCAGTATTTGGTGTTAATGACGTATGTTTTACTTATGACGTCCTTGTTAACTGGACGCGTCTGACCAGGACGAAAAGTTCACTTTGTTTTGTGGACAAGCCGAGAAAAAAAAATATGAGCAGGGGAGAAGGTAAAAGTAATATTAAAAAATAATCAGAATAGATTATTCCGAAAATAATATATCATTTTATTCCGTATATGACAAGAAACAAAAATTAAAAAGTTTTGTTACAATATTTCAAAAGATCGTCGCAGAATTTACAATGATTTGATTTTTTTTTATTTCTGTCACAACACACCAATCTGTCATCTTATAAAGAGCTCTTCAAAATTCGGACGAATGCTGCAGACACAAATCACAATTTACATATCCACCCTTCTTTTTCAAAATTATAAAATAAATATAAAACTGTCTTCCACTGGTTATTATTGTCTAAATTATGTCCTATATTGTTTATTTTATTAAATCCGTTGAAATGTCACACTTGCCGTTTTTGACGTTTTCGGCGTATTTGTTAAGTGGCTAATGAAAAACAATAGGCATTTGCGGTCTTTTTTTCGATCTGAAATTTTGTTTAAACGTGAAAAGATGTTTATAAGTGTATGAAAAAAAATATGTAGAAGTTTCAAGATAAAATATTAAAAAGAAAATAAACACGATTTTTTTGTTTGTGTCTTGTCAAAATGTCACAAAACGCCGTTTTTTTAACATTTTAGTTAAAAGTATGATAAGTCATGTAAAACAATTTTGGAGGGGAAATAAATTTGAAATTATAGCACAAAAAATTATAATAGGGATTTATTTGAACCCATTTTCGACTATATTTCGAGGATATTAACGACACAGTCAGCGACTACTTTTGTCTAGTCATAATGTCACACCATGCTTTTTTACTCGTTTTGACGTTACGTTCGGTTTAACTTGACATGTAGTGCATGCCTAACGTCGCAAATATTTCATGCAAAACCATGATTTTTGAGATTTTATTTTTGGAAACAATTTCTTAACAGATTTTTATCGAATCTAATTAAAATTAATTACTGTATCCGTTTACTTGTTCATAGTTGAGATTAAATTTCCTTTTATTAGCAGTTGAAAAATTAGATTAGATAAGATTATTTTTGTTGTTTTAAATTTTGAATTTGCTTTCAATAATTGATAATTAACCTTTAATACAGGTGATGAAATACACGCTTCAACTAATAAAAGTGTTATCCGGAAACTATCAAAAGCAGATAAAAGAAATGAAAGAATTACGACGTTATGTATGCAATACATGAACAATACGTCAAATTAATGTTATACCAAAAACTAACACCAAAACCGTACGCGACGTCATTAGTCTTGACATGATGTTTAGTAAAGTCGGCTTATAGATTTGATAGTTTTTTTTTCTCAATTTGCCATTAAAAAAAATGAATGGTTCTCCCTATTATCAGAAACTGTAATCGTAATCATTATCTAAGGTTGCTAATCCCACATGCAAAATTGGCTTTGGTCTTTGGGTAAGACCCTTTTGATAGCCCATACTAATAAGCCCATACTTTTTTTTAACTTCACAAACTTTTATCCTCGAGCGATCTCGCTGATTATTATCCAGGAACTCGACATCGCGTAATGAAATTTCTAAAAGAGAGACGGAAGATAACACAGGAATATTCAAACTCTAGGCTGGTCCTCTCCCTTGCAACATACTTATATCTATCAGAGCCAAACAGATAAAGGACAGGGAACCAGTCTATTCAAACTCACAAGTCGATGACAAACTGACAATGCCATCGCAAAAAAAAAACGAAAAATGACAGAAAGACATACAACAGTATACAAAACACAATATAGAAAACTAAACACTGAACAACACGGACCCCATTAAAAACCGGGGGTGATCTTAGGTGCTCAGGAACGTTTACGTTTTTGAAAGGAAATACGTTTGTATTTACTAACGGGTGCTACAAAGAGGATACAGTTTTCATTTATTTAAGGAAACGTAACTTGAATTCGGCAGTAACGTGTAAGAAGGACCCAAACTTGTCCTCAGATTCTTGACACGAATACAATTTTACATGAAGAAAGTAAAAAGTAATAACAAGGCAATGCCTGTACAATAATTTTAATAGTGTACTTTTTATCTCTTAAATGTAAGGACAATGTAAGGACTGCATGCTTGTTTGCACTTGCACATCTATATTAATCCTTCAACGGGATTCGCGAGACAAAGAAAGGAATGATTTTCAAGAGGGCTCCACATTAAAAGCATGTTCAACACATTGGAAGTATACAAATATTTAGTGAAGAATCTAGTAATACATCTTCAATAACATTCTGATATCGATACAATGACTATATTGGGGAAAAACAGAGAACATGTAGAATTTCCCCAAATCTGGTTAATCTTCAGAGATTTTAATGAAATTAACTCAATTATTAAGGTTTATTAATATTTAACGAAGATTGACAGTATGCATAGTTTGCTTAAAGCCCTGTATGCAAAGTAAATTCTTAATGTATGCATATTTGTAATTTGAATTGTTTAGAAGTGCTTATATTTACTCTTTGCAGTCATAGAATCTCATAGATCCTTGATGAATATTGTTGTTGGGGTGTTTTTGTCCCGTCGATAACCCTAAAATACCTCAATAAAGTATAAGTTTAAACTTTTAGATGTTCGGGGCATATATGTTGAAAATATGCTGCACAGCCCTATGTTTTGACCTTTGAATGAAATAGTAGTGCATATGAACTTTCCATTCTAGGATATAATTTTTTACGAAACTTCATAGTAAACGTTGCACAGTTTCGGCCTATGGGAAATTGCATTGTCTATGTTAACGCAGGGATTGCTCTATATGTATATGTTTTAACCCTCTTAAATATACCCAAACAACATATGAACTGTATGTTTGCACCAGCAAAACCGATATCGTTTTCTCAGCGGGATTCAAAATCATTAACATGATTAAGAAAGAAAAACAATGAGAAAATAATTAATAAAGAATAAAAAAGTTAAATTATTATATTACAAAAGGACAAAAGAATTGAAGGATAGTCAAAAACATTTGACATGCACGCGTTTTACGTCAAGAATGAAACACGTCTTTTTAACAGTTTTTAACGAGCGGTATGACAAATATTTATATGCTTTATCTTGAGAGATCATTTTGGTTTTAAGTTCGAAAGTTTGTAGGCCCTGTTTATATGCCGCGTTAAGGTCAACGACATTTGAAGCTAAACGTAAACCAATGGCGTTACATTCATCATATTCGTGTTTAGATATTGATGAATATCAACAGTATTTTGTGGCAAACCTGAATGGCAAACTACGGTGTTCTTAATTCCAATCGTATAAGACTGAGCATATATTACATAATATAAAAATTTGAACAACAGAGAGGATCCAGGTTAATGGGGCGCAACGCCAGGAATGTTGCCGAGCGGAGCGAAGCGAACACATTTTGAACGTTTCAATGGCAAAAACAAAGAAGATATCTTCCAGATTTCCAGGAGAAGAGCACGTCCTATGTGCGATTTTTTCTAAGGTTTTTCTAAAATAAGAAGATATTATGAAGCATTTTAGGCCATTATGATAATCTATCAAATAGCATCCTGCAGAAGTGCATAAGACTATTAGTCTGTCAGATATTAATAGTTATTTTTCATCTCGTCTTACATACTATTATTTGTTTACAACTACAAAAACTGCCCAAAATAGCCTCATGCTGAGATTTTTTGATGATTATATATATTTAGTCACTGCAATACTCAAAAAGATATCATTTTACCAATACAAAAAGGTCATTCTGTGTCAAATATGTCGATGTTATGTCTTTAACATCAGAAATTATATAGTGACATATATGTGATGTCTGCATCAAAGTGTCTAAACTATATCATCCAATTACATTAATTTTGTATCAATAATTTATTTTATTTTTTAAAGGTCGATAAATTGTTCTATTTTAGCACTTATCATATCTCTCTTATTTAAATATATCTATTGAGTTCATATTATTAATATTATAGGACAATTAGATTTAACCAGGGAATTTCAAAAAGGAGAACGATTGTACCTCCACGAAGAGAACGGGATAAGCTGCAAATATACTATTGAACAAATAGAATATCTCTTGAATAAAGCGTCACTGGGAATGGAGAAATACTGGAGGAACGAACATGTGGCAGTGATATTAGTGAACCGGAAATAAAATACGAAGAAATGTATATTGGTTTGCATCAGTTATCGTTTGATTTTTTACTCTTTGTTCGCAATTGAAATTAGTAAACAGAATATTAGTATAAGATGTGATTACATTAACCTTTTGGTCAATTAGACGACGCTGGTCATTAATAATAGTTAAAATCCCAACCATTTAATCGTTTTGACAGTCTTTACTTCTTTCTGTTAGTTTATATAGTCGTTTTTTTCTGCTTTAAAACTTGTTCTAGGTCGAATTCTATTGTTCTATGTTGTTTCTTATTTTTAGTTTATTACCATCACCTGTTTTTGAATAGTTCTATCTTTTTAAAACAAACTTTGATATTTTCATCCTGGAACATTTTGGACAGTTCTGCCCTAGAACATTTTTGAATATAAATATAAAACATCAGACAAGACAGACAACACCTTGACCAAAAAAACTAAAAACGACAAACAATCTACAAAACACTACATAAACAAAACTAAAACTATAGCAACACGATCCTAAATAAAAACTAGGGTGACATCTTGTACCCCTGATTGGTAAACATATCCTGTTCCTCATGTGGCCCTTGTCGTTTTGATACACGATAAGTACAAAAAGAAGTGTATTTCCTCGTTGCTTAAACATAATCAAATTATAATTAAAACATTTTTGATTAAACATTAATACCAGAACTAAAACATATATCAGAGACTGTAATTATTTTTACTATCTAATCCTCATTATCTTAAATATGACTTATGGGGAAAATCCAGCTAATATTATTTAGAATTAATGTCTTGAGATAATTTAGCACTAATGGTCGTAAATCTATATAAAAATAAACGTTTTAAAAGTAAATAATTACATTACATGTATGTTTCGTTATAATACGTGATTTTAATTGGCTAATAGCAATCTCGCGTCATTCTGAAAATAACCTTCACTTCAAAATGAAATGTAACATTCATGATGACACGACCTTCCACAATAAAGTGCACAGGTCAAATAAAGAAAAGTTGATAGAAATCGTGTTTTCATGATCCTAGCAAAAAAATGTAATTATCAGTATCGAATTCTTCTTTTAGTAATTGTATAGGGTTGTAAAAGCGTTGACAGTTCGCACATTTTTAGAATGAAGCTAAAGCGCTTCATACAAAATGTACTTCAGTCAACGCTTTTACGCCCCAATAAATTTACAAAAAGAAGCATTCAATTCTTAAATAAAAAAAAAAAGAAAAGAAAAGCAAAGGGTTAACCGAAGCGAATACTTGAACTACTTGTACAATTAAGGCACAAAACGAAAAGGAAAAAAATACAGATTAATAGAAGGAAATAGAAATAAAAATTCCTAACTGTAATACTATAAATTTACAAAAAGCCCTATATATTTTACTCTTATTTTTATTTTGCTAGAACTTGCAATTGATCTAACGAAATCTATTATTGACTGATATTTTCTCCTCATTTGGTTTCAGTTGTACAAAACATTCATGACACGGGTTATGTTCTTCTCATATATGTTATGATGGTATGATACTAAACCCCTAACGGGAAGGATTGTGCCTGATAATCATATGATGAAGACATAATCTTTCAATCAGTTTAATTGAAGTCTGGAGCTGGCATGTCAGTTAACTGCTAGTAGTCTGTTGTTATTTATGTATTATTGTCATTTTGTTTATTTTCTTTGGTTACATCTTCTGACATCAGACTCGGACTTCTCTTGAACTGAATTTTAATGTGCGTATTGTTATGCGTTTACTTTTCTACATTGGCTAGAGGTATAGGGGGAGGGTTGAGATCTCATAAACATGTTTAACCCCGCCGCATTTTTGCGCCTGTCCCAAGTCAGGAGCCTCTAGCCTTTGTTAGTCTTGTATTATTTTTAATTTTAGTTTCTTGTGTACAATTTGGAGTTTAGTATGGCGTTCATTATCACTGAACTAGTATATATATTTGTTTAGGGGCCAGCTGAAGGACGCCTCCGGGTGCGGGAATTTCTCGCTGCATTGAAGACCTGTTGGTGACCTTCTGCTGTTGTCTGTTCTATGGTCGGGTTGTTGTCTCTTTGACACATTCCCCATTTCCATTCTCAATTTTATTAGATTTATCAAGAAAACTACATTTAATATTACAATGCACATGTAGTTTTTTTTAAATTGTTTAATTTAGAATTAAAACCTGATATAATATGTAAGTGATTATTCCTCATAAACGTACAATATATAAATATAGATATTTTAAAAATTCAAAACATTTTGCATCATACTTCCTGTCTGCGAATTGAAGACAAAAAGTGTATTCATGTTTATTCTTCAAATATCAAGAGTAAATAATTGACTAAGCTTCAAAATTGTCGATATTTATAAAACTAAAAAGATTTGGTATGATTGCCATTGAGACAACCATCAACCAGCTAATCATCTAGGTCGCCGTAAAACAATGAACAAAATTTATACCAAACACTTAGCTACAAAAGGTTCCGACATGACAAACTGTTAAACAATTCAAACGAGAAAAACATATATGACGAACAGTCCCAAACGACTATCGTTACCATTAAATTACAGGTTCTTGAGTAGGAACCAGGAACATATAGAACGTGTTAGGTCAAGCATCTTTGCGATCGTTCAACCCTCTCCACACCCTTCACCTTTCACTCGGGACTGTTGTGAAACAGTACAATGTTCGATCAGTTATTAAAGTGTGAAACAGTACAACGACGATCAGTTATGAAGACTCATCAGATCGGCACGAGTCTGTTGTGTACAATTTATAACAAGACAAGTACGGAAACATTCAACTTTTAAATATGTTCCTTTTACCTATTTCGATACTGAAACTCGTGTCATGCAAATTGATTAATGTTTACCAATAAATGTTTATGAAGAAAGAAAAGTGGAAGTGTTTACTCCGGGGGCTTTAAAAGACACCGGCAAATAAAACAAATGGTATTTGCTAACCCTTCCTGAGCACCTGGGATCACCCTGGGTTTTTGATTTGGTTCGTGTTGCTTAGTCTTTAATTTAATTTTGTTGTGTTTAGTAAGTTGTTTTTGTCCTTTGGTCGATTTTCGTTTTTTGCCATGACGTTGTGAGTTTATCATGAATATCCCTTTGGTATCTTCCGCCCCTCTTTTAGAACTCCTTTTCATTTAACAACTTTGGACTAGTTAAGATATGAATAGATGAAATTGTGGGGTAAACGTCAAGAAGAAGGAAACCCAAAACTAGACAAATAACATACAATCAACCAACATTCGTACAGTATGTTAATAATCCTTATCGTTTATCAAAATAAATTGAACAAATTTTACAAGACCGATGGAGATACGAATGAAAGGAGAAGCAAAAAAACAAAACAAATAGAGATATGCAAACAGTCATCAACAATACACATGTCGAACTCTGACACATCTGGACCAAATTTAACCAAACTTCGCCACAATCATCATTGGGGTCTCCAATTTAAAAATATGTCCGATGACCCCGCCTTCCAACCAAGATGGCTGACATGGCTAAAAATAGAACATAAGGGTAAAATGTAAGTTTTGTTTATTATTTTGAAAACTTTTTTCAATAGAGAAAATCTGATTGGGGCAACGTTCAGAATGTTGAGCTCTACCAATTGTCTCTTTACGTCAAAATTGTCGAGGGACATTTATAGGAGTTATTGCTCTTAAATTTCAAATTGTTTCTTTTTGGCTTATTATATTAAAAACTATAATAGATACAGAGAAACTTTACATTCAAAAATGATCAGGAAGATAAGATCTACAAATAAGTCCATTGTCGAAATCGTTTATTGACTTTTAATTACAGTTATTGCCCTTTGAAGACGATTTTTACTCTTTTTTTTTGCGTTTTTGTCTTATATCTTAAAAGATGTAACCGATAGATAGAAACTTTTATTAACAAAAATGATCAGCAAGGCCAAATCTTTAAAAAGGTTCAATTTTGCCACTATAGTTATTAGACTGTAATTCTTTATAGGAGTGATTGCCCTTAAATAAGGATTTGTTAAACCCTATTTTGTATTTGAGCAAAAACCAAGCAAGATAATGAGAAACTAAAAAAAAAACAAAAAAAACAGACAAAACGAACAGCAATACAATGTAAAAAAAAAGAAAGTTTTGTCATGAACTCTATTCTCGTCTTCATTGTTGGAGAGTATCCTTTGTTGAATATGCACATAGACCGAGGTGAGCGACAGAGTCTCTTTAGAGCCTCTTGTTTCTTTATCTGTCTTTCGAAATAACTTTGCTTCATAAACAACCCAATTGTTGTAATTTTTCGGATCATGCATAATGTCGAATCATCGAATAAAAATGTCAGTTACAATGTAATATATTATGCTAGTTGTCTCTGAAAATTTTGTCATGCATATGAAAAAAGAAGGAAAATCGACGTATTGACAAACATTTTGCGTAACAGCAAGCAACTGCTATCAAGTACACAGACTATTCATCTCCACGAACATAATTCCAATGAGTACAACAATTATCTGGGGCTTTTATATATTGGTCAAAGCAAACAGAGTTACCACCTACGACTAATACATTTTGCATATATTGGGCCCATTTATCACTAATCTACGAATAATTTTAATCACTAGTTTCAATAGAAATTAACTACCCATTTGATGATTCGAAGCAACCAGTTGAGAAAAAAAATGTTTTTTTAATAATACATCTATATTTCGAGGAGTTGTGAGAAAACGAACCAAACATATTGTTTTATAGTTTTATATGATGTTGCTGCTGAAAAACCATAAAAACTACATGTAGTTAGAAGTGCTGTGGGAACAAAAACATGTACATACTACTTTCATAAAATTGTTGGCCATTTTTTGAAAACCTGCCACGATAGCAAGACAGGCGTGTCATGAAATGGCCATATATTTAATGTAGATTTACGGTCATTTA